AAGGTGTGGCTGATCTAACCCAAACGAAATGGAAGAGTCACTGTTGTGACGGGGGGTAAGGTGCCCTTTCCCACCTTTGCTGAGAGCTGACAGGTGACATCCAATCATCTGGGGTAGGCAAGGGCCAGGACCAGGGCTGCAGAGGTCCTCCCAGTACCTGGTTTAGGCCTAAGATGCCTGAGCGCTGTCAGGCAAGGCCTCTCCCGCCTACCCAGCCTGCACACCCGGTGGGTGGGGGAGGTGCTGCTCAGGCCTGATGCTGATCTCTCCTGACAGCTGCTCCTAAGGCTGGCAGGGCAGGCAGGCAGGCGGGGGAAGGGACCAGATTTAAAGGTCCAGCTGCCCCACACCCTGACAGACCTGGGAGGGCAGACTCTGGTGAGCATCTTCTGAGGCCATGGCTATGAGAAGTCAGGAACCTCTCTGCCCTCATATTTCCACTTCTTCATACCAAGAGTGCCACTGGTCCTCATTTCTGCTTACACCCCGCAGGCTGCCAGGGAGACGAGTGGCACCCACCATGCGACTGCGACGCCTGACCCCTGGCTACTTCCGGGTGCTACAGGTAAGTACCTCTAACTCATGGTTTCTGGAACCGACCCCTCCCTCCCCATATTGTGACTGGGTTGTGGGCCCCAACAGCCAGGGAATGTTGTCACGTTTCCTGCCGCCTGAGCAGCCAGGACCCAGATGGGCACTGAAGCGAGAGGAACTAGGGTGGACTCTTCCTGGGGCAGCAATGGCGGCCATCTCTCCTTCACCCAGCTGTGCCTCCTCAGCCCCTTCCCTTCCTAGAAGGCTCAACTGACCCTTCAGGTGGACCCTCTGTACATCCCCAGATGCAGGTAGCCGGGGAGCTGAAGGCAGAGCCCCGAAGTCCGCTGGCTGGGGTTGTGGCTACACTGCTGGCTGTCCTTGGACTGGGTGGCTCCTGCTATGCTGTCTGGAAGATGGTGGGACAACAGCCACCGCCCCATGACAAAGTGGGCAGCCTGTCGCCTGGGCCCCGGCAGTAGGCAACTCAGCAGGGACTGCAATCTTGGGGTCCCACTTCATTTCTGCCGTCGTTGGAAGCAGAGCCGTATAAACCTGATTCTACACGCCCCCCACCCCCCACACTCCCCCCACTGTACCTGGGCTCTGCCTGGTGGCTCCAGGCAAGGATGCAGGTTCCACAGCTGGACCAAGTAGGGAACAGACACCCTGACTCCGGCACACAAGAGTGGCAGAGAAATCCTTAAGGGCAGGAGTTCGGGGGAGGCCTGGAGGCTAGGGAGTCAGAAGCAGGCACTCTTTATCCAGTTCCTTTATTTGAGCGGAGGGCACCCAGAAGACGCCATCCACTTGCAAACTCAGGGCCAAAAAAGGATGGCCCAGTCTCTCCAGGCCTAGCCCTGCGTCACCGTCCATGGGCGGCGGCTCTGCCCCGCACCTGCAGGCCATGTCAGGTAGATGTGTCCATCTCAGGGACCTCAGTGGATACTTCGGTGGGCACTGCCAGCCGCTGGGGGGGCACATAGGAGCCCATACCCGCTGCCCTCTCGGCCTCTTCCTGAGTGTAGGGCTCCACGCTCAGCTGCTTTAGCCTGGGGGAGAGGAAAAAGGAGGTGGGAGCTGCCAGATGGGCGCCCTGTCAACCAGACACCCATCCTCGGCCCCCGCCTTACTCCTCCATACCTTTTCTTGTGGTCTTTGGATCGGAGGTGGGTCTTCAGGTTGGCGGAGTCGATGAAGTACCTCCTACAGGGGTGCGGGTAAAGGAGGGTGAGCAGGTACCGGATGTCTCTCGGGGACGTCTAACTCCCTGACCACCGCCCATTCACTTCGAGTCGGAAGGGACAGGAGGCCCGCAGACCCCGCGCGCCCGGGGGGGACCGGACCCCACAGCCCCGGCCCAGAGCACGGACCCTACTCCTCCCGAGGAGGCCCGCGGGACTTACGAGCAGGCCAGGCAGCGATGCAGGCCGCCCCCCGGCAGGTCCGGGTCTGGCTGGGCACCCGCGTCCGGCCGGGGCCGTGGGAGAACCTGGGGCCGCAGCTCGCGGTGGATCTCATCCAGGTCCGGCCGCCGCCGCTTCGCCTTCATCTGGCGGGCCAGGGAGTGCGCCCGGTGCGCGCCCGTCCGGCGGGAGCGACCCATGGCCGGCGGCAGCGGAGCCCGAGGCCGGCGCCGAGGAGGAAGCTCACGTGCGCGCGCGCTTCCGGACTCTAAATGACGTCACATGACGCCCGGGGCGGGCCGGCTCGGACGGACTGCCGCTGATGACGTCACTGGCGCGGACCGCTCCTTGAGCGACCCCAGGCGGCCAAGTGTGTCAGTGACGGAGCCCGGGGCAGAGGCCAAGGGAGTGTCCCAACCAGAGGGCGCAGGAGGCCTGGCGGGTGCCGCTGGAGAGGGGTGGGGTGGTGCATGCCCTTGGGGGGTTCCTGGGCGTCCCGCTGCCCTGCCTACCCCTCCTTGCACCACCTCTCAGCGCTATCCTCTGGCCCCGTCTCTCCTCCCTGGTTCCCACATCTTAGACTCCGCGGTGGAGGATGGGCATGTTTTGTTTTTGGTTTTTTAAAATATATTTTATTGATTTTTCACAGAGAGGAAAGGAGAGGGACAGAGAGTCAGAAATATCTATGAGAGAGAAACATCGATCAGCTGCCTCCTGCACCACTCCCCCCCCCCCCCCCCCATGTGCCCGCAACCAAGATACATTCCCTTGGCCGGAATCGAACCTGGGACCTTTCAGTCCGCAGGCCGAGGCTCTATCCACTGAGCCAAACCGGTTAGGGCGGATGGGCATGTTTTAAATATCTCCGGGAGGCACTGAAAAATATCTGTGATGTGAATAAATTGAATAAGTTTGGGATTCTGGTCCCCATAAGGCTTCCCGAGATACCTCCATTCCCTGACAAATCCTTGCCCCTCTCACTGCTCCTCAGTTACTGCCTCCGGTGTCCATTCCTTATCCACCCCCCACCCCCACCCCAGACAAATCCACATGGGAGACTGGAAGGGGGGTTCCTCCCCAGAGATCACAGTGCTCACGCAGTGTCAGACTTAAGAGCGATCAGCTCCTTCCACAAGAAGAGGTGCTCACAGGCGGGCCTCCCATCTCTGAGCCCTGGACTGCCCTGTGTGGGCTGGCAACAAAGGCAGAGAGAGATACAGCCTAGGTGTTGTGTGCTCAGAATAGGGAGAGGGCCGAGAAGCCTTTTCCCACTCACCTGGGCCTGATGCCTTCCAGGCCGACCAGAGGAGCTCAGCAATAATTCAGGGGCTCCAGCTCTTTGGAACCTGTTGCCAGGAAACAGGGAGACAGGCACGTGCATCCCTGGGGAGAGGAATCAGTTTCCAGCCCAGACAAAGCAGTGAAATGTAAGCCCAGGGCACTGACTGGGGGACTTGGGACCTTCCCACTCCAATTCACAGAGGCTAAGTGGGGACAGAGGGCAGGGCCCTGCTGAGGGCAGCAGTTATGGCTATAGTCACCGGGGCGCCAATGTGGGTCCGGGGGACAAGGACTTTGGAAATGGACTTTGTGAAAGGAAGAGGACTTTTCTGGAGCCATTCCAAGAGATCAAATTCAAGTACTCCTGGGAAGGAGGCCTCTGTGGGGAGAGATGTCGCTATTATTCTTGGCCAATGTGGGTCACGGCAAGGGGCCGAGGTGGCAGAAGCCCGCTCTGTCCCACCCCCACCCTAGACTCCTTTGGATCTGTTCACTTGCCGGGCACCGTGCCAGCTGGGGAAGCTGGTGCATCTTTAATGAAGTCACCAGATCCCTGGGACAGGCTCTCGGTCTCACCAAGTTCCTAAGCCAGACCCACTGGATGCCCTCTGAGCCACTGCCTCCTGTACCTGGGCACCAGGCCCGTTTCCCCTGCAGCTATGAGCCAGGCCTTCTGGAAAACCTACAAATCCAAAGTGCTACAGACCCTGAGTGGGGAACCTGAGGAGGATCTGGCAGAGGAGGTGAGTACCATCCATGTTTGCTGGGTGGGGCAGGGGCAGAGGGGAAGCAGGAGTGAAAGGTACAGAGAAGGGCAAGGGGCAGGCTAGAGAGAATGAGAGGGCGGGGTACATTTGTGCAGAAGTCATCAGCCCACTGAAGGATGACAATGGCATGGCACAGGGTCAGAAAGACAGGAGGTTCAAGAAGAAAAGACTTGGGGGACCTTGGGGGAGCGGTCACCATATCCATGGGTCTCCAGGATTGCCACAGGGAGAAGATCCTTCTAGGTCCAGTGTGCAGTGGCCACACAGGTACACTCAGCTTACTTACTACTGGGCAGAGCGGAACAGAAGTGGAGCCCCCTGGTACCGGAGGTAGGAACAGTGACACTTTTATTCTGAGGGTCACTGACAGCATCAGATCAGAGCCACACTTGGACCATGTTTATCCTGACGTTAAAAAAACAAACAAACTGAAAAGGCTCTGAAACAGTCTTACATCTAGCGGCTGTGATAAGTGGCAATTGCACAAATAGACATGGCAGGGCCAGGAACACGGTCTGTGGTATGTGTGTATGTGAATTAGTGAATGTCTAGACAGGGCTGGGCATGTGTGGAAGTATTTGTGGGTCAGTGTCAGGATTGGTGTCTGTGTGGTATCCCCAGGGAAGGTGTATGTGCAGGTGTGAACTAGGTATAGGTATTTTCAGATGTGTACATTTGGGCAGAAGTCTATGCCTGCCTAGCTCTGTGCAGGTTTGGCAGGTGTTCTGTTTGTGTGTGTTGTGTGTACATCTATATCTTGGTGTCTGGGGATGGGTGGAAAGGTATGTGTGCTGTGGGTGGGCCTCTGTGCAGCTGTCTGCAGTTATACAGGTGCACAAATGTGAATGGTATAACTGTGTATGTGCCCTTGTATAAGTGCCTCAAGTGCACATAGCCATGTAGAGGGGAAGAGCTATAGCCATGTGGAGGCATGCTCCTGCACAGGTGTGTCTACATCAGTGTGCATGCCCATGTCCACATGTTTTTTGGGTATATATGGACGTGTCTGTAGGTGGGCACATATGTGTTTGTGGAGGAATTTTTCTGTACAGGTAATGTATGTGACTGGTAGCTTTGTTTAGAGCAGTGGCCTGCAAACTGCGGCTCGCAAGCCACATGCGGCTCTTGGGCCCCTTGAGTGTGGCTCTTCCACAAAATACCGACTTCTGTGCATGGGCCACGAAGTTTCAATCGCACTGTACATGCGCGCCCGCACGTGGTATTTTGTGGAAGAGCCACACTCAAGGAGCCAAAGAGCCGCAAGTGGCTCGTGAGCCATAGTTTGCCGACCACTGGTTTAGAGGAATACGTTTATGCATCTGGGAAGGGTGTGAGAAGACTAGGTGTATGTTTAGTTCTGTGGAATTTGGGGTGCCTGGTCTGTGTGTACCAGGCTAGCAGTGGGGGAGGGAGTTCCTATGCCTTTGGGGCCTCTCTCATGCTGGGTGGGGGGTCTTGTGTCTCAGAGGGAGAACCCAGCTTTAGTGGAGTCTGAGACAGCAGAACCGACCTCAGAGGCCTTCAACCCCATGTCACAGCTGGTCCGCCAGGTGAGTTCTCCCTCCTTCCAACCCGGCCCTGGGGAGCCTGCAAGAGGCTGCTGTGGAGTCCTGGGAGGTGGTGCTGTGGCCCCTCAATGACTCCCAGGCCCTTCCTCCCAGGTTCAGGGAGTCGGAGTGAAAGGTTGGCTGACAATGTCATCTCTGTTTAACAAAGAAGATGAAGATAAGCTGCTGCCACCAGAGTCCTGTGCTGACCAGTATGTGTGTGTGTGTGAGGGGGAGGGGGAGGCTCAGGGATGGGCCTGGGGTCGCCTTGTCCACGGCCTTTCCATATGGTCAGTTTGTCTTTCTGGCCACGGAGGGTTGGGATGGGCCAGCCTCTGCTCTTTCTGTTTCTCTTAGCAGGAAAGAGGCCAAATCAGCATATCTGGGAGATTAGGGTAGATTACAGGAGGAATTTACCAAATGTTGGGATTGAGGTGCTAGAAGGTATTATGGGTGCTCTCTCTCCATCCACGTGGGAGGGGTCCTCTCCCTAGAATCAGGGAGCTGAGCAGAGAACCTTTGGATGTTTGGAACAGAGGGTGATCCAGACCAGTGATTCCCAAATACGGGTCTAAACTCATCCTCCCAGGGTACTTATGACAAACACCATTTCCCAGACTCTTCAAAGATTCTGCTTCAATAGGTGTGGGCTGAGGCCTGGGATCTAGATTTCAGCAAGTGGAAAGGATCTGGGGCACACTAGTTTAGCAGCCAGCCTTGTAGATCTAGGATGCCGGCGGGTTAGGGGGCAGGACCCAGGGCCTCAGTCTTCCTCCTAGCTCTATCTCGGGCACACCCTCCATCTCTGCCCCTTCCTCCAGCCCAGTCCCATTCCCCCCCTCTCTTTGACACTCCCATATTCCTTTCTCCGCTAGGGCCCCTGGCCCACCCCTCTCTTGTCCCCACACTTACCTCCTCTGCTTCCCAGCTCTGGTAGGGGCTCCCCTCAGACCTGAGATCCCACCTCAAGCCGCACCACCGCTCCTCGATTGCTCTTCCCCCACATTTCCCGGCTACCTCCAAAGTCCCCCCTCCCCTGAGCCTCTGATTTAGACCTTTCTCCTTCCCTAGGGGCCTCTCCACCCGTCCTTCTCCCGTGTCCCCTCATTTTTCTGGTCGCCCTTGACTCCCATCCCAGAACCGGACCCCAGTCCCCACCCCGCTTCTTTCCCAGGACCCCCCCCCCCCCCCCCGGCTTTCCTGACCACCGCCTCCTGAACCCGTTCCTTTCCCGGGATCTCGCCCTTCCCGGTCCCGAGCCACTCGCTGGAATCCTTGGTCCTGCCCTTTCGCAGGGCACCGTCCCCATCCTCCCGGACCTGGCGCCTCTCTCCGGCTTTCCTACGCTGGCCTCGCCCCAAGTCACTTTCCTAATCCCTACACCCTGTCCCACCCAGCCCCGCTCCCCCGCACGTCTGAGCCCTCCCCCTGCCTCCACATCCTGACCTGCCCCGTGTCTTCCGCCCCTCCGCCCCCCAAGTCCGCAGAAATCCCCGGGCTCCCCTGGCTCCGTCGGCGGTGCCTGACCCGCCTCCTCTTCTTCGCCCCCCGCCGGGCCTCCAGCCCCGCCTCTGACCCTCTGATCCGTCGCTCTCTCGCAGCCCGCTGGCGGCGCAGGCCTCCGCGCGGGCGGCGGCGGCGGCGGCGGAGGCGGCGGCGGAGCCCCAGCCCCGGGGGCTCGGGTTCTGGGACGCGTTCGCCAGCAGGTGGCAGCAGCAGCAGGCGGCGGCGGCGTCCATGCTGCGCGGCGCCGAGCCCGCCCCGGAGCGGGACCCCGAAGCCGGGGAGGAGGCCACGGAGGAGGCCGCGGAGCAACCCGAACCGCGGGGGACCGACGCGGCGGCCGACTTCAAGTGGGGCTTCCTGACCCACAAACTGGCCGAGATGAGGGCGAAGGCTGCGCCCAAAGGTGACTAGCCGGACGGCCGAACTGGGCGCCCACGCCTCCTTTCCAACATAAAAACCCTGGTCCCACAGCCCGTTTCACCGCGTGTTTTTTTGTCTGGACAGTCGGGAAGGCTGCTTTTTGGTGGGCAGCCTCAGGGTGGGGGTCCGGCTGGAGGAATTCTTCCTTATCCCACAAACATACTGGGAGAAAATGACCAGGGACAGCCAGGGTATCAGGATAGATTGTGTTAGAGTTAGGGTACAACTTTCCAAGAAGCTGGGGAACCCCTGAGGACAGGCTCCATCGCTCTGCCCAGCCTCCTCTAATTTGGCAAACGTTGTCTGTGGTCCTACTATGTGCTTTGTCCTTGTACTAGGAGGCCACAGACTAACAAGAGAAGTCAGACTATCAGCGGGTCCCACACAAGGTGACAAATCGAGGCTCAAAATACAAGGCTGTACTTGGGAGCTCAGAGGTGAGGCCGACTGGAGAGCTCAGGAATTCCTGAGGGAGAATGAACATATCCAATCTTAGAAGGATGAGTGGAGAGAAAGGGAAGGGTAACCCAGGCAAAGGGCGGACCGTGAACCAAGACTTAAAGATGCAAACGTGTGAGGAAGACAGGTGACCTGGTGGTCTTTGAGGGAAAGGGCAGGATGTGAGGCTGCAGGTTGGCAAAATCCTTGTTTGGAGGGTCCTTGCCTTTATTATCCTCAATTCGGCTCCAGCCCTTCATACCTTGCAACCAAAAGCAGGCAGTAAAACTCCAGGAATGGGGACCTTTCAGGCACGGGTGGCCCCCAGATTTCTAAAGCAGGCCCTCCCCAGAAACCCCCTAAACTCTCTATTCTTTCTCCCCCGCAGTAGTGTGGACCGACCTGGGGGTCGTGGAGGAAATGAGTAGTGTGAGTAGGTACTAATTCGGTAGTGGTTATAGCAGCTTGCCTTCATTGAGCGCTTCTATGTGCGGGGAACATTGCCATGAGCTTTACAACTACTTCAAAAATATTATGATCACCGAGGGGTGCACCTGCAGTCCAGAGAGGGAAAGTGCTCGCCCAGGGAGAGTCACACAGTCAGCCTTGCACCCATACTCCAAAACCCTCGCAAAACACACCCGCAAACCCGCGCCGCCCCCTTCCTGAACATCGATCTCACGACTCGCTTAACGTTTTGCCTTTATTCAGCAGGTTCCCTGAATTCTCAGCCCAATCTCATTCCCCAGACCCGGCCTCCACCGGGGCCACGCGGAGGCCTCCTCCGCCTCCGCCGTCCGCACTGGGAAGGGCCTTAGGAATCATCTCGTCCCACGCCCCCCACGGTTCCTTGGGGAAGCCAAGATCCAGAGCGGGGAGGAGGGGCTCGCCAAAAGGCCACCTGCGCGCCAGAGGCAGGGCGTCCCTGCCCGCGCCCGGGTCCAGCCCAGCGCTCACCCCCTGCCCTTCCCCAGATACCAGACTCCTCGGGAGCCCGCTCCCGAGCGGCCGCGGTCACACTGCAGACTCGCGCGGCGGGCTGCGGGCGCGCTGGCAGCCGTACAACCACTGGATGACGCGCGCGTTGCGCTCCACCACCGACACCGGGGGGCGCCCGTCCCGCGCCGATCCCGCTGCCTCCGAGTCGCCGCCGCCGCCGCCGCCTGCGTGATCTGAGCGATCCGCGCCACCATCGCTGGATGTCCAGTCGCTGGTGTCCCCGGAGCCAGGCGGCGGCGACGTTCCGGGCTGGGGGCTGGCGTCCGCGCCCCAGCTCTGCGGAGAGAAGCGCTCGGCACCCAGCACCTCCACCAGCGCGCGTTCCAGGCCGCAGTAGTTGAAGAAGCGCTCCTTTTCCGACAGGGGCAGCGAGCACGTGGGGCACAGCGCCCGCTTGCCCGCCGCTTCCGGGGCCTCTTGGGGTGCGGTCCAACCTCCTGTAGCCGCAGGTCGCTCCGTTGGGCCCGGGCTGCTCGAGGAGGCGTCTCGGGGGGTGCCCAGGAAGAGGCGTCGCACCAGCCCCTGGCCCTTGGCGTTCTCTTTGTTCACCAAAGCCTTGCAGTCCCGCTTCTGGCGGTAGAAGATGAGGGAGTCCGGCCTTGGCAGCCGCCTGCCGCTACCCCGGCGGGCCGGCCTGGGCGTCCTGGGAGATGCAGGGGCCCCCAGCTCATTGCAGGGGTGCGGCATGAGCGGCCCCGGACCCCCGCGCAGGGCGGGCTCCTGGCGTCGCGCTATCACCTGGTGCGTCTTGACATACTTAGCTTTGTCGGCCTCCAGCCTCTCCACCGCGCTGGGGGTCCGTGCCCTGGATGGGGTGGAGGGAGAGGCTAGGAGCATCTTAGCAGAGCTGGGCGGGACAGTGCCCCATAAGCCACCGCAGTTAGGCAGCTAGTGAGTTGCTGAGAGCAGCTGGCTGGGGCTTCCTGGGACCTGCAGGGAAAGAGGAATGGTCAGGGGGAGAGTAGATATTCCTGCAGGCATTCCTGGGAATAGGATCAGCCAGTCACTCCTCCCCCATCCAAGGCCCCGGTGCCCTGTCTAGGGGGCAGAGGCTCTGGCTGTCCCTTACCTCCATTCCTCAAAGACATGGGGCAGGGGCTCCCTATGCCACATGGAGGTTGCCCCGATCTGGGCACAGGACCATGCCAAGCAGGCATCAGCAAGCAGGACACTTGGGAAAGGAAATGGGGCCGGTCCCGGCCCAATTCCCGAAAGTGGCCTCGACCGGAAAAAATACCTCTTCCCAAACCAGCAACTTGGAGTCCAAGACAAGGACGCTTCGCAGCCATAGGCTGGCTCCAGGGGGGCCCACCCTTCCCACCCCCAAGCACAGAGGTCAGGGATATAACCACAGTGTAGGAGTCTCCCGTAATTGCGGCCAACTGCCCTGCCCAGGCCCAGGAGGGCCATTGAGAAGGAGAGGGCGGTGGTCACCAGGTCATGTCAGCTGGCTGCCTGCTACCCACCCACTCTGTGCTCCTGCCAAGGGAATCCCAGCATGCCCAACAGTAAATATCACCTTACCTACCTCTGCATTTCCATTCTGTAGAATGTGACCCTGGCCCAGGGAGGAGGGGGCTTGCTCAGGGCTTACTGAGAACGAGGGCCTCGGACTGGAACTAGGTCTCTTGCCTTGCATTCCAGAACTGGTTCAGATTGGATCTCTCACTTGCCTGTCAGAACATCCCTTTTTTTCTTTCTTGTATTCCCGCTGATATACAACCAAGCAATTTCCCTTAGAGATGGGCCCCTTGCCTCATTTAAAATGTTCCTGCCATTGATTCTTCCCCAAACCTGCACTCCTAGAAACCTGCCCTCAGGGTCCCTGCCTCCTCCTCATCCTGAGACCCCATGACCCTTCTCCTCCACCTCCCTCTGCAGGGAAAGGGGCCGGAGGGGCTGTAAATCAAAGGTTGACAGTTTCCTTGGCAGCCACAGAATGGGCCACCCACACAGCTCAGCACACCCCACCCCATCCCTGCCCCCTTATGCCCTCCATCCTCCATTCAGCTGAGAGGGACACATCAGTTCTGGGGGCTTAGAGGACCTCAAGTCTGGAGGCAGCAAAGCAATAGAACTTGTCAGGGATGGGGGGAGGGGAGCCCTGGTGATGAGCCATGAGGCAGAGACCCTGCCAACCCCACTCACCCCAGTGCAACTTGTTCAGCTTTACACACACACACACATACTCATACACACACACACACACACACACACACACACACACACACACACACACACACTCATACACACACACACACACACACACTCATACACACTGCCAGTGTCTAGTAAATCAGTCCGTAGGTGACTGGGATCCCAGGAAGCAGGAGAGGCTGACAGTGCCTCTCTTCCTGGCTCCGAAGGACTATCCCAGACAATGGGTCAGATTCCAAGGTCTCAGGAGGGCATTGCACTTATCTGACCTCATGGATACCCTCACATCCCCTCAGCCCCTCCGCCTCTTCCCAGCCCCAAGTGCAGAGGCTATAAAAAGTCCCTAAACACAGGGACCAAAATAGGCTGCCGTCCACTGCCTCTTCCCTGCCTGCGGGGCTGGCCTTGCCCAACCGCAGACGTCCCTCCCTAGATGCCTGGCAGACATCCCTTCGCCCACTTTCTCCCAGTCCTGGGGTTAGTGGTCCGAACTTTGTCCAGGGCTTCTGCTCCCAATGAGGGCTGGGGAACTGTGCTCATTTGCTTGGAGCCAGGCTGCCCGCCTTTGGGTCCCTGGGTGCCCCCCCCCCCCCATCTGAGCACTGGGCTCGGGATGCACTCACCTCTGTGTGGGGAGGCTGAATGCAGGGGTCCGAAGGCAGGTCCAGACTGAGGGCAGGAGGGACAGCAGGGACTAGAAGTAACTTTGGTGGCAGCCAAACCTCACTCTCCACAGGAAAAGCTGAGAGAGCCTCCACCCTCGCCACCCCCCCCCCCCCCAGATTAACCCTCGCCTTCCTGACCCAGCGCCTGGCCTCCATTAACTCCTTCCTGGTCACAGTCTGTGTTGGTGAGGCCTATGGAGCGGGCCCAGCTCCTTTATTTTATAGGTGGTCACACTGGCCCTGATAGGTTAAGCGATTTGGCTGGAGGCACAGTGAGCTTGGGGTACAGCCAGGACCCCAAGCAAGCTCTCCTGATTCCCAGGCTTCCTTCAGAGGCTTGGGGTGGGGACATGCTGTTCACGTGGGGTCAGCCTGCTCTGGGCCTTGGCAAATCCTTTGGTTGGAATAGGAAGGCAGAGCAGCGTTCTGGTAACTGTGCCTTCCCGCTCAGTAGCAGGCTGAGACCTGTCCTGGCCCAGGTGTGGGCATCAAGCTGCTCTCCATGGGTGAGGCCAGCAATCTGCAGCCCGAGGGTGGGGCAGTGGTGCTTCGGACGTTCAGGGTGAGCCTGTCCCAGCAAGTCTTGGCGTGAAGGTCACCTGGGAGCCCATTGGAGGTGCCTGTGCCCAAAGTCCTCCGATGGCAACGGGGATTGACTGGGAAGAGGAAGATGAAGGGATGGTTTGAGGTCAAGTCTAGGTCCTTTGGCCTCCTTTCTCCTCTGCCCCAACTTGGGAACTTCTAGAGCTGGCACGGTTTCTTGTGAAGAGGAGCCCAGTC